AAAAAAAAAAAAGTATGAAAAGAAGGTCCGCTGTCATTCTTCATTGTCATCATTTGTTTGCCCACCTTTTTTGCATTCAAATGATCGAATTCATTCAACTATAAAAAATAAAAACAAAAATAAAAAGGAAAAAAAGAAGGGAAGAAAATTGAGAAATTTTTTGTGAAAAGTTGAAAATTAATTAAGTTTGAAAAAATTAAAAAGGAAAGATTAAATAAATGCATATAATAATGATGCATATTAATATTTCCTGCTTAAAAAAAAAAAAAATCAAATTTAACAATTAATTGATAATATATTGTTGTATTATCACAAATAATATTTAACATTTTTTGAATTAATTTTTGAAATAAAATTTTTTGAATTAATTTTTTAAATAGAATTTGACCAAAAAATTTTAAATTTCACATTTTATTCGATGACGAAATTTTATTATAAAAAAAAATTTTATTTATAAAAAAAAAAAAGTTTATATATTTTCTTATTTCTTGTTGTTGATTTATTTTCTCAAAAAAATTCCAATTACTGTTTTCAGCCCGATTTTATAGCAAAGGAAACGAAAGAGAGAGAGAGAGAGAGAGAAGAAAAAAAAAAGAGAAAGAAAGAAAGGAAAAAATACCTTCTTCATAAAAATTTTTGCTAATAAGTTATGTACAATAAGATTCCTATCATTATTCAATTAGTTAAAAATTGAGCTTTATTCATAACAAATAATAACGAATGTTATCGAGAAATCGCGGGATATAATTTGGTAAAGATTTAAATAAGCTAAAAAGATAATATGAAATATATGCCTGATATTTTTAATGAAAATGAATGAAATGAAAAAAAATTTAGCAATTTTAGCAATTTAGAAAAAAATTTATAATTTGTTTTATGAACATATTTCTGGTAAAATAACATTTAAAAAAAAAAAAATTATTTCCATGGAATAATCGGAATAATTATGATATGAAAGTGTTATATGATAAAATATTGATTAATTCTTGTATTTAATCGAATCAAATTTTCTTCTAATGATTATTTACTGCCTGTAATGAGGTGAGCTAATTAATAAACTAATTAACAAAAATTAAGGACAATTACAAAATGTTGTGCATTTCTTCGTCGAAGATTGGTTCTTATCTGCTGTACTTGGTATTGTTACGGCAGCTCTTTCAATTACAATGGATATAAGTATTGAATATTTGCAAGAATGTTAGTTAATTAATTAATTATTTTATTTTAATTATTGGGCAAAATATGGAAATTAGTCTTTTTTTTTTTTTTGTTTGTTAAATGAAATGATAGAAATTATTTTCAGTAATGAAGAATTCATGCTAATTAGTTAATTGATTGATCAGTTTGTTGTTTGAAATTTAAATTTTAAAAATGTAGCAATAATTTATTAAAGTTGAAATTTATGAGCAATGATTGGAAGATAAATATATCTAGCAAAGGAAAATATATGGTTGAGCAAACAAATCTGAACGAATGAAAATTGCAGTTATAATATTTTCTTCAAACATGATGTAAATTGATATTTGATGAAAGTTATGCAAAAGAAAGAAAAGAATCTTTCTGGAAATGAAAGATTAAAGAATTCATCTTTTTCTTTTTAAAAAATAACAAAAAATAATTTGAGTAATCATTGCATATCATCAAAAAAAAAAAATTCGAGCAATTTTTTGCTAATTTACTTTGTTTACTGCAATTTTACATTGTGGTTGCCAGTAATGCATGCATGCATGCTAATAATGCGATTTGCATGCAATTGTTGTTAATAGCGGAATATGAAATAAATTGAAATTCATAGCTTTTATCTTAATTTGGATACTTTGTAATGTATTTGTCGTTGTTACAGTATTATGAATCCAATTTCCATCATAAATTTTTTTTTTCCAAAAAAGAATTCAACCATATAATCATAAAATTTGGATATGAAGTAATTACATTGAAATTTATAGTTTTGCTGTTAATTTGAGCATTATTATCGAATTTTGCAGATAATATGCTTACTGTAGTTTGAAATGCATACTGTCACCATCATCTTACGCATACTGTCATCATCATCCTATGCATTCTGTCAGCAACACCTTATGCATACTGTCAGCATCATATGCATACGATAACCAACACCTTACGCATACTGTTACCACCATCTTATGCATACTGTCATTATCATCCTATGTATACTGTCAAAATTACGCCGATTTTATTTCGGTAAAAAAAAAAGTTGTAATCATTTTAGACCGTGTAATATTGTACGAATATACGATAAGAAATTTTGATTATTACACGACGCTTATCACATGGACAGCCTATATTACCGTATTGACCGGTGCATCTGCACTAATTTGTCATTGTTTTGCAAAGCAAGCTATTGGTACGTAATTATTTATGTTTACAATGTAATTGTTGAAATTCTTGAAAACGTATATTTTTAAAACATAAGTAAGTTAGGTAAATAATCATTCAGTCAGTTTTTAGTCAGTTGCTAAGTAAGTAAACCTGTGGTTAAATACTTTTAAAACTGATTCGTTTTTGTAAAAGATTTTCCAAAAACTTATATTTCAGGATCAGGTATTCCGGAATTAAAAGTTATAATGTGTGGTTTTAAAATGAAAAATTATTTGTCGCTACAAACAATGATTGGAAAAATCTTTGGTTTAACACTTGCGCTTGGTAGTGGACTTCCGGTTGGTAAAGAGGTTCGAATTTTTACTTTTTGATTTATATCCCTTCTAGACTTTTTTTTTTTATCATTCAATATAATATTATGAAATTTGAAAACTTTAGAATAAATCAATTTTAAGGGAAGGAAGCAACATAGATTATATAAAATGTAACAATTATTCCTTTTGTTTTACTTTCTTATTAATCATTTCTTTTCAATTATTATTCATTTCACAATTATTTAATTAATTTTATTTACTAGTCATTTATATATTTTTTTCCGTCTTATATTTGTTATTTGCTCCTTCAGAAATTCCACAATTTTCAAATTTTCGGCTTTTTAATTGAGAAATTTCGGTTTCAATTTCCAGGTGACTTAAAAATTCAGGGAATTTGAATTCTTTCAGGGACCATTTGTACACATAGGCGCAATTGTCGCATCACTTTTAACACGAATTACTTCCGCATGTCGATATCAAGCATTTTTCTCGAGTGAAGGCCGTGAAATGCAAATGCTTTCATCGGGATGTGCAGTTGGTATCGCTTGTACATTTTCAGCACCTGCTGGTGGTACGATTTTTATTTACTTTCATTTATCACTGATAAATAAACATTGTAGAATGATGAAAAAAAAAAACAGCATGAATTTGATACAGTTTTGAAATTAATTAAATAAATTATAAATTAAATTAAACTGAACCATATTCGAATTTAAAATTAAATTGAACTAAATTAAGCTGTATTTAAATTTTAAATTTAAACTAAGTTGAATTAAACTAAAAATTCGAAATTGAAAATAGTTGGATTAAATTAAATCAAAAAATATATAAAATATTACATTGCATCAAAAATAACAAAAATTGATAAAATAATTTGATATTAGCTAAAAATTTTAATTCATTTTATCAAATTTAGCTAAAAATTTTAATTCATTTTATCAAATCTAATATTGGAAATATTTTTTGCAGCAGTGCTATATGGTATCGAATCAACATCAAGATTTTTTGCTGTCCGAAATTATTGGCGTGCATTTTTTGCAACAACATGCAGCGCACTTATTTTTCGTTTTGCTAATGCTGCTATTATACCACCAGAAATTGGTTTGAATTTTCCACTAATTTTACACAAATTTTTCATATTTTTCAAAAATACGAAATTCAAAAATTTATGAAATCCATTTTGCAATCTTTTTTTTTTTTAAAAAAAAGCGTAAAATACGTAAAATATAATTTTGTAAAAGAGATAAACTTCATACTATTACACTTTCTTCTCTTTTTTTTTTTTCTTCATAAATACTATATCAATCATCTTTACCGCCTGACAAGGTAAAACTTTTATGCGAAAAAAAACGGCGTACTGTCATCATTTTGATCAAATTTTCATTTGAAAATTTGAATTGTAAATTTTTTAAAAACAAAATTTTAAAAGTTATACGTCAAAATTTGCTTGAATTTTATCTAACATTTCCAATATCAAAATATTTACTCTATTTAGACTAAAATTTTTACACTATTCATATTTTAGCAGGTACAATAACAGCATATTATCAAACTTATTTCCCAAATTCGGTATTTGTTGTTGAAGAATTACCAGTATTTGCTCTTATTGGGTATTTTATTCATTAATTTTATCAATTGTTATTTTATTTCATCACTACACAAACTAAAATTAGGAATGAATAAATTTAAAATTAACAAATGCATAAAATTTGGCCAATAATTTTGAATATTCATTTCATAATTAAACAATTTGTTTTTTTGTTAAATACAATTAGATATTGCTTCTTTCTATTGATGATAAAAAATTGATAATATGTTAGAATCGATTTAGAAAATTTTTTTTATTAATTTTCATTTCTTTCTTTCACATCTCTCGTGTAACTTTTTAACTTCATGTCTTTTTTTTTTTTTTTAGAGTATTTTCGGGTTTATTTGGTGCATTGTTTGTATTTACACATCGAAGAATTGCTCTATTCAGGGAGAAAAATCGTTTATATTTACGTATTTTTAATAAAAAGTATGTTTATTTTATAAATTATTTCACGGCATTTTATTAATTTCATTTATTTTATTTTAATTCTTTTCTAAAAATAATTTCTTTTAAAAATTTTGAAAATTTTTTATTATTTGTAGTTCGTTATTTTTTACACTTATCATGGCAGCTATCGTTGGCATAGTTACATATCCGGATGGTACCGGACGTTATTTTGCTGGAAAAGTAAGCATTATTAATTAATGCAACTCATTATTAGCCATGACAGTACTTGAAAATATTATTTACAAATAATTTTATCATATATTTAATCAAATATGAATTAACATTATCATTGTATGATATACAAATACGAAAAATTACCGTAATTCATTAAACAAATTGTAATAATCCATTCAAAGCATTATTCCAAATAATTTCATTACATATATATAAAATCGAAAATCATTTTATTGTAATAATCCATTCAAAGCATTATTCCAAATAACTTTATTATATATATATATATATATAAATCGAAAATCATTTGGTACAGAAATAAGAAATGAATAGCATATAATTTATTTTGTATTTCTGTTAAATCCATCTAATTTCTTGTTTTCTTTTTTTTTTTTTTACAAATAAACAAATCGCTTATTTTATTTATGCAAGCTGTTTATTTATTCATGTTTATTTAATAAACAAATTGTTTATTTATTTATGCTCATTTGGTAAACAAATTGTTTATTTATGTTCACTTAATAGACAAATTGTTTATTTATTTATTTTCATTTAATAAATAAATCGTCTATTTTTTATGTTTTTTTTTTGAAAAAAACAAATTATTTATTTATTTATGTTTTTTAAATTGAATTTTCCGCTCCATTACTAAATGAATAAATTAGTATGCATTAATTTAATTTAATAATTAATTTATTCCTTTCCTTCCTTTTTTTTTTTTAGTTTTACATTTCGTGAAACATTAGCAGATTTTATTGCAAATTGCACATTTATGTTATCAAATATAACAGCAGAAGGCTGTTCGAAGGAACGATTGGAACGTTGGGTTGGAATAAATCATGAATTTAATGCCTTAAATAGTTTGGCAATTTATTTTTGTGTTTATGTAAGTTATTTTTTCTTCCTTTATTTTTCCTTTCAACTTTCATTTAACAAATAAATTTAAAATTAAATTTTTCAAACAAAACTAAAAATCACAACATATACATATTTTGTGTTAAAGTTT